GTAATGATCTACCTAGCCTCACCTTGCAGGCCCACACGGATGCGGAAATGAGTGATGAATTGAAACAGGTTGGCAGGGGCTTCTCCCATAGGGTCAAGTCATTCACCGTTTATCATGCGAATGGCTATCGCTTTCGCACGAGAAGCTACGAGGAGAGTCGGCCCAACCGAAGCACCACGTGCACCGAAGTTTGTACGCCCGGCACCGATGAGCGCGACTATTACGGCATAGTCGAAGAAATATACGAGCTCAACTTTGAGGGTCCCAAAGCTCTTAATCCAGTGGTTTTCAAATGCCATTGGTTCGATCCTGAAGTCACGAGAAGAGCCCCTGAGATTGGGCAAGTCAAAATTCGACAGGATTCCGTCTATAAAGGAGACGATGTCTATATTGTGGCTCAACAGGCCAGGCAAGTTTATTATCTCCCATGGGCGTGCCAAAAAGACGAGAAGCTTACGGGTTGGTACCTTGTGCACTTGGTATCGCCGCGCGGTAAAGCGTCTGTCCCAAACGATGATGATTACAACTTTGACCCAAAGATAGATAGCAGAGAGTTCTATCAACCTGAGGGGCTAGAAGGGAGTTTGGAGATAGACATAACTTCGCTGATGGGCATGGAAGTAGACAACGACATCGATGAGGACGAGGGTGATGAGGTGTAGAATGCCAAGGACTTAAGAATGCTTGAGCGATGGAGGATGGAGTGCGATGGAGTTGTTGAGGACGATGTAGATGATGAGGACGATGGAGATGATGCCGTTCGTGGATATGATGAGGACTTATATGAGCTCGACAATATTGATAGTAATGACGACAATAGTGATAGTGATAGTGATGATGATGACAACACGCCAGTCACTGCCGTTTGTGGAGATAATTTCTAATTCATGTAATAATATATTGTTATTATTATTACCTTGCAATTATGTTTCGTTCATTTTGCATCTCTTTACAAGTACTTCTCGTTTATTTGTGAACAAGGGTTTAATCTTTGTCATTGCAGGCACTCGAAAAAATGCCGGGCGGAAGGCGGCAGCAACGACAGGGGATCACCTCGGTCTACCAGAGGGACCGCTCACCAACCGCCGATGAGGAGCCACCGTCGGTGGAGCCATCGACGAGCAAGGAGAGGAGGCCCCGCGGACGTCGCTCGGCGACGAGGAGGCTGGAGTTGCCTCCCAACAGGGGGTGATGACGACGACGACCGGCAGTTCCTCTTCCTCGTCGGACTCGGACCACGGGGGCGAGGCGACACTAGGGGAGACGCCTTCCTCAAGTTCGAGCAAGGTCTACTTGCGCGGGCCCTCGTCCCTCCCTTCAGCGCCGCTCGCGCCTTCCCGCCGCCCGATGATTCGACCCTGCGGTGACAAGTAAGTAACTATTGCTGTTTTCACTACTTGTTCATATGACATGTTGAAAATCGTACTTCAGACTAATAATTCTTCTTAATGACTGGTGCAGTAACTGGACGATGGTGAGCGGAGGGGGCAATGCACGCCATGTCAATGGCATCCAGAGCCTCCAGCTTTGGAAGCACTACCCTGGCAGGGTCACCCACGCCGGGGTGACAGGGCCGCCCTGGTCGTGGGAGCACTTCGCCAGCGTCGTGGACCCTGACCACGGCACCCTTGCGACGAGGATCAAGAGGGAGTTCTGGGTGAGTCTTCATCGCACCGCATTGCTCAGTACTACGCATTCGTTGGACGTTCTTGAAATAATGAAATGATACATGATGTCTGTATGCAGGACTACTTCACGTGCGAGGATGGGAAACAGGCCGAGGCGACGCGAGTGCAGGACAAGGTCTGCAGAGAGCGACTTAAGGACCTGTACCACGAGGGGCGTATCCAGTGCATCATCACCTACAACGCCGACGTGCTTGGCCGGGTGGTGAGGAAGAGGGAAGCCAGGCAGATGATGCTCCAGAGGGAGACCGACCTCACCAGGGAGCAGTACCTCCAGGTAAGTAGGAAACATTCATTCTGATTCCTTCCATGAAAAATATGTAGGCTTCAATTCATCTTCTGACATGTCAAATACTTGATGTCATGCAGATGTGTCCTGCTTGGTGCTCCAAGTACAAAGACTGCTGGGTGGACATCGTGAACAAGTGGGTCTCGGAGGACACGTACACTCAGCACAGAAGCCGTCGGAGGTGCCGCCAGGAGATGCAAGGGCCATCACACCACCAAGGGAACCGGCCCCTCCCAGTCTACATGGAAAGATGGGTACGCTTCTATTGATCTATTTATTTATTTATTCTAGCGCTCAATTGTCATTACTTGTAATCATCTTTGTGTTTTCCTCGCAGTCCCAGTCGCATGGTGGCCAGGAAATCAACGAGTTCATGGGGTACGCCCTGGCTCACAAGGGCCCAGCGACAACGGCGGACAACGTCTACAACCCGGAGGACGGGGCCGACGCGTACACCAACGCGAGCGTCTACCCCAAGCTTGCCGAGTACACCTCGGTGGCTCGCACGCGCCATGGGGAGGACTTCGATCCGGCCACCCAGCCCCTAGATACGGACCTCGTGATGAGGTTGGGAGGAGGGAAGCAGCACGGCCGGTACTGGATGGCCAACAGCGCAATCGAGTCGTCCTTTGTTCCTAGACTGAGCCAGATTCGAAAAAACCAGCACGAGCTCCTCCGACATCCCCATAGCACCTCGGCAGCCGAGCTCCACGCAGATGATGGTGGCATTTCAGGTAAGTACAGTTTTATTCGTCGTTCACTGGTTTTACACATGTACCTGGCCTTTGCATTGTTTAAACCGCGCGGGTGTAATATTGCAGGCCCAGCTGGCAGAGTTGCAGGCCCAGCAGATGGCCCATCTGCGGCAGCTGGAGGCTATCCAGCAGCAGTCGGCGTGTCAGCTGGAGGCTGTCCAGCAGCACTCGGCGCGTCAGCTGCAGGACGTGGCGACCTACTTTCAGGGCCTTCAGATCCTGGGTTTGGTCCTGCCTCCGTTGCCTCCCTCGTTGTTCGCTCCACCCCCTGCTCCTAGTCCTACAGGGACTCCGGTGAGTATATATGGTTGTTTATTGCTTTTGCTTGTGCGGCCATCCTGCAGGTACTAATGAGATCGCTTCTCCTTTGTGCAGGCACAGTCGGCGGGTTCGAACCCGACTCCTCCAGGTGGCCCTTCTCCACATCACGGGTGGCCGGTTGGCACGGTTGGCCCGACTCCACAGTACACGTGGCCAGGTGCCGTTCCTCTGTCTAAGCAGTACGGGTACTCCGGATGGACAGGCGTCCATCTTCCGCCGCCCGGGTGGACGTTCCAGGGTGGCCCTCCGTAGCAAGGGTGGCCTTCGTGGCCATCTGGGAGCTCTTCACACTCTGGGGGCCATGGGGATCAAGGGACGCAGTAGGTACCTCTCATTTCGCTTTTGGACTTGTGATGGTTATGTTGGACTAGTGATGGTTTGGCTTCTGTGAGGGTTATGTTGGACTAGTGATGGATTTGTATGGATGTACTTGTGATGGATGGATGGATTTGTTACGGATGAACTTGTGGATGGATTTGTGTTGAATTGTATGAATGGAATGTGATATATATGTGTGTTGAATATATGTGATATTGCATGGATAGAATGTGAAAAAAACTAAAAAAAAATTTACCCAGATTTGCCGAGTGCAAACACTCGGCAAAGCTGGGGAAGTTTTTCCCAGCACAACAGCTTTGCCGAGTGCTGACAGGCACTCGGCAAAGTGACCATAAGTTTGCCGAGTATCAGCACTCGGCAAAGATTGTTTAAAAAAAATTACTTTGCCGAGTGTCTGTCAGACCGGCACTCGGCAAATATTATTTTTTTAAAAAATTTTAAAACTCTTTTCCGAGTGCCTGCCACGTCAGCACTCGGCAAAGAAACCGGTAGATGACGGTGGACGTTAACTTTGCCGAGTGCTGACATGGCACTCGGCAAAGGCTTTGCCGAGTGCCAGACAGGTGGCACTCGGCAAAGAATTCTTTGCCGACTAATTCTTTGCCGAGTGCTCTTTGCCGAGTGCGGCACTCGGCAAAGCCTTTGCCGAGTGTAGAGCGGGCTTTGCCGAGTGCGGCCTGCACTCGGCAAAGAACCAGAATCCTGTAGTGAATGCTCTAATCTTCTCATACACTGCTTTGGCAAGAGTAGTCTTTCCGAGGCCCCCAAATCCGACAACGGAAACTATCTTGCCTTGCTGCAAGGGTACTCCATTACCATCCATCAGTACCTTGATTAGCTCGTCTCTTGACTCATCAATTCCAACAAGCTCTTTTGTGTCGGTGTACTGAGCAAATAAACGAGGGTCCACCACAGTAGTTGTGGTAGGCTTATCAACACCATTGTTAACAACACTGTACCTGAGGCGCCTCTCGTGCACCTCAGTGACACGGCTCTTGATGTCTTTTACTCCCTCCGTCCAGAAAAAAAAACGCAATTCTAGCTTTGAACCTGGACACAACGCAATTCTACTCTTAAAGAACAGAACGATTAAGATGGACATCAGAATCTGAAACTGACACAGAAACAGAGGATTTCTGTCTAGGGGAACAGGGAAAATTAAGGTTAGAAGAAAGGGGGACAGGAGACAAGACAAGAGCGAACAAATGTAGACAGTGTATAGTATCAACCATAGGTACTGCTCAGATACTCCATTGACTTACTAGGAGAAAAATATCTCAAACAAATCTTTTTTTAAGAGTTTTGGACGAGGATAGGACCCAACATAAGTTTATAGGTACCTAAAAATACACTTTGAGAGTTCGGGGCCCTGAGTGACACTAGAAGACAAGTTTAAGTACCTGAAAATGCATTTTGTGAGTTCAGTGACCTGGAGGACATAACGAGACAAGTTTAAGAATCGCTTGTGTATTTTACTCGAAGCTCAAGGATTAGCTTAAGCAGATGGATTTCATTTCATGTGCATAACAACAAATCTTTCCTCCGTCCAGCACTCATCATCTCAAACTGAAGTGATGACCGCACCTGCATCTTTATTTTTCACCCGCAATTCTATATGTACAGCTGGGGATGATTAGGATGGATGTCAATGGCATGCCAGAGTGCAGCCTCCAGTTCCTCCACCTCCTCATTACTAGCGCCTTGAGAGTCCAAATGAACGTTAAGGTGCTGGAATGACGGCAGGTTCCCTAGGCCCAAGTCGAGACCACCATTTCCACTAGCGATTGATCTCAACCCTCGTACAGAGAACTGGAACTTAAGGGTTTGGAGCCTCGGCATAGATCCTTCCTGAAACGCTACAGGCACTAAAAAGTTCCAGAACCTGCATTGCACCAGGCATGAGAACGAACCGGTACAAATGACAAGTCCTCCAAGGATGATTCCAAGATTCTCATGGTCCACCTCCAGATTCAGATAGCGGAGAGCCGACAACCTCCTGAGGATATCCAGATCTGCCTGCCGAACCTCCCTTACCAGGATGGATAGGGAGGAGAGGTCCGGCAGAAGCGACGACGGAGGGCTCATCCAAGCTGACAGCATCGACAACCAGCAGCCCCATCATGTCTTCAATCGACGAAGATGTCTAGGGGCGACCCAGCCATCCAATCCACCATAGGCCCAGATACTAAGATCCTGGATCTTTTGCAGTTTGTTTAGGCACCCCACTAGTTTGTCATCCCATTCAATCAAGACAATTTTCAGCACCCTCAGTTCAGTCAGCTGGCCCAATTCTTCAAGAATGCCCATGTTGGAGTTGTCAATTGCTAATTCTGAACAATGGTAGATGGCAAGCAAGAAATATTATTCCTCTGTACGTCCAGAATCTGTAGAGATTGCAACCTTCCTATTTCTTCAGGTAGTTGAGCAATGCATGTGCCACGTAGTCCTAGGTACCTCAAGTGAAATAGATTCCCGAGGTACTCAAGGCTATAGCCTTGTGAAAGATCACAGTCTTGTAACTCTAGCACACGTAAAACTTGGAAGTTCCTAATTGTAAGCACTGGTTTTAGAGTAGCTGCAGCTGTAAAGACAACAAGTGACCTTACTTGTTGGTAGCTTATAGTCGTAGCTGCCAGAGTGGTAGTACCATCACCCTTGCCATTATGAAGGGACAACCTTCGGATTGTACTTGGTAGAGATTTGTGATCCAAGCCATTTAATATAGTAATAAAGTTTTCTTCACTCGACAAGGAGCGGAGGAGATCAAGCACCATGTCATGCACATGACATGCATATACCATGCCATCCACGTCATATATGGGTTGGGTCATACTTCTATTAATGAGTTCATTGAAATAGCTCTCTCCTAGCTCAAAAAGACTCCCTCGTATGTCACATTGAATAAAGCCTTCAGTTATCCACATCCATATCAAACGATCTTTTCTAATTCGGTAGTCTTCTGGAAAGACACTTAAATATAGTAAGCAAGTCCTCATATAGGATGGCATATTATAATAGCTAAATGACAAAATATTTCTCATATTCTCCACGTCTAGGCTATTTTCAAGACCAGTACCAATAGCATTGTACAACTCATACCAGTTCATCTTATTTCTTGCTATACAAGCGAGCAAACTAGCCACTGTAATAATGGCCAAGGGTACACCAGCACATTTCTTTAGTATTCTATCAGATACCTCATCTAGACATTTTTCTGTTGCTCCATTGTTTTCATTAGCAAATATTCTTCCATACGGTAACTTTCGGGAGTTATTTTCAGAAAGGGGTTTCAACATGTATGCACCACCAGCTTTTTGTGCACCATCAGAATTACATGCATGTAGTTGTGATAATTGCGTATCCGACATCATTATCAGGCAAAGCACATTTAATTGCTTTCCAGACTGAGATATCCCATATATCATCAATGACAATGAAATACCTACACATATGGTTAGGTATCAGTATAATTAATAATGAAACTAGGGTATATGGTAAGTTATTAGTAAAATTAAGTTTGAAATTAGGATGGCACGTTCCAATATTATATATCACCTTGTTCTGTAAATTAAGGTACAAACATGTTAAACCGAGATAGTTTTTCTTTGCAAGGAAAAATGAGATAGTTAGGGCCAACTGGATTAGCATGTACATAACAAAGTCCCTTAAAAATCATTGCCAGATAAAAAGGAAATCTACTAGCAAAACGTTGTCACTGCTATTTCTTTTCAACTCAATAATGATGCAAAAAGCTTAAGTAGTTGTTTTGTTTATTTAACCAGGAGATGCATGAACACTGCTCATTAACCATATGTAGACTTGCTATTATGATGTGAAGGGCCTAAGTTATCTAGGGCTATAATCAAAACTTCATACGTACAAATCAATGGCATGAATGCTTCCATAACTTTTGGGTTTAAGAAATTATTTGAGTACATTGATGAGCCTCCTCTCCTCCAGTATTTCTTCATTGATGTTCTTGCCGAGTTCATAGAGCAAGCCCTTGAATAATTTCTTCAAGTCTGGAGTTTGAGAAATTGAGACACCGAAACAAAAGCGAACAATCAAATAGTGCCCCAATCTTCTCATACACTGCATTAGCAAGAGTTGTCTTTCCGAGCCCCCCAAATCCGACAATGGAAACTATCTTGCCTTGCTGCAAGCGCACTCCATTGTCACCCATCAAAATCTTGACTAACTCATCTATGGTCTCATCAATGCCAACAAGCTCTTTAATCTCTGCATACTGAGAAAACAAACGTGTGTCCACGGTAGTTGTGGCATCCTTATCAACACCATGGCTGACCTCATACCTGCGCCGCCGTTTGTGCACCTCTACCACATGGCTCTTGATGTCTTCGATTTCAGTAGCAATCCCATGGTGGACCTTAGCCTTTTAAAAAAGCCAACATTTCTGTCAATGAACCTCCTAATGCCATGCACCTTGGTTGATTCATTATCGCTACCACGCACCATGAATGTGTCAGTGCTATCCTCTATATCATAGGACAGCTCACTCAAATCATTGGCCCAGATCTTGTCCTGAATGTCAAGCTGGTTTACCGGTGTGTTGGAGACCTTCTCAAGGGCACCTTTCATGCTCCAGAGCTCGGCTTGGAGAAACTGGATCTTCCCCTTCACCCCCATTTGCAGATTGTACTCCCCGGCGAGGAGATCACTGAGTTGGTGATGACGCTTGACACTGCCCCCGTTACGACATCCATTGATCTATCATCGAAGAAACAAATGAGTGAGACTACTTGGTTCGCGTGCACAAGTTTGTGCTGTGATGACAAGTGACAACTCATAAATCACTAAAATGAACGAGAGCTACTCCCTAATAAATTAATTTTTAAAGTTGTTTTAAGTAAAATGAATTATGACTGACTGAATTTCTAGAAAAGGGTATAAATGTTTATCAAACCAAATAAACATATTATGATGTATCTAATGATACTAATTTGGTTGAATAAATCTTAACACTATTGTATTTCTATATATAAATTGGGGAAATTGGCTGGCGGACACCCACAGTGGTGGTCGTTTGCTGGCGGACACCCAAAGTGGAGCTGTATGCTAGAAAACACTCTGGTTTGTTGTAATTATGCCAGAGGACACCGCGGGCCGGTTTCCACCGGTTGAGGAGAGAGAAAAATTCAGTTTGGACATCCGGTGCCCCTTAGTCACGTTTGGGTCTAGTTGGATCAGCTAATAACCGACCCGAGCCTGGTCTGGTTAACCGGCCCGTCCCGCCTGTTAGGGTTTTAGCGGCCGTCACTTTCCCCAATCCCACTCCCGCCGCCACCCACTCCACTACGGTGCTCGCCGCGACGCCGTCCACTCCACTCCGGTGCCCGCCGCAACGCCGTCCACTCCGGTGCCCGCCGCTGACACCTCCAGCGTCGGCCATCATCCACCATGGGGGGCTGAGGATCTGCAGCACCCCCGCGACCCGAAGATGAAGTCCCCCAATAGAAAGAACGCGCAGTGCACTAGTTGTCCGCCTAGGGTGCCTAATTTGAAATGGATTCCAAAAGGGTGAGATTTCTTGAACCCGTACTCTTTCGATTTGTATGACTGCGGATGCGTTAGAAAGGTTGTGATTTGAAATCGTTTAGTTTGGATGTGGTCTTTTTTTAATTAGGATGGATCCGACGTCCGCCTGTAGATTGGCAATTAGAGTACCTGCCTATGTAGAGCAAAGACCAGATGAGCTCAATGATTATCATGTAACTGCTAACTTCATGCGTGTGGTGGACAAGGATATCTTCAGTTGGATGGGTTTTTATGATTGCCTTGCTGAGGACATAGTTCGGATCAAGCACTGGAGGTTACTTTCTTTGACAAAACCAAGGATGAGATAGTGCGCATAGATTCTGATTCTGCTCTGCTAGATGCATTTGATGTGTATTGGGACAGTAGAAGGGTGCCATTGACTGTAGAGGTTGTTGACACTAGTCCTCGTTTATTACAGTCTCAAGTTTGTAATGCCAATGCATCTGGTGATACTCAGTCTGTTGTTAGCACATAACAGAGTCAGGTCATTTGTTTGCCATTAGCTATGATTCTGCCTGATGAAAATCCAGTAGCTGTTTATACTGCTGAAGCTGCTCATAATCCAGAAGTTGTTGATAATCCAGAAGCTGTTGATAATCCAGAAGGTGATGATAATCCTAAGGTTCATGATAATCCTGAGGTTGATGATAATCCTGAGGTTCATGCTAATCCTAAGGTTGATGCTAATCCTGAGGTTGATGCCAATCCTGAGGTTGATGCTAATGCTGAGGTTGATGATAATCCTGAAGGTGATGATAATGTTGAGGTTGATGATAATCCTGAAGGTGATGATAATGTTGAGGTTGATGATGACTAGGGAGAGTCCGGTGAAGTTGAGTATGTACAACCTGGCTGTTCTAGATCTTATGGACAAGATAAGGTAATTGATCATGGAGAGGTTTTGCACTAGGAGGCAGCTGGCCTCAAAGTTGTCTGGGTTTAAGGTTTTGCCTCATGTCATGAAGGAACTGCACAACAAAAGCAGAAATCTGAAGTACACCATTCACAGGAGTGGCCCAATGGTTGGAGAAGTAGGAGGAGTGAATAAGGACTTAGTCCCATGGAGGTTCATTGTTGATCTAGAAAAAGAAAGAATGCACTTGTAGAGGTTGGCAGTTAACTGGTTTGTCTTGTGTGCATGCCATAGCTTACATTGGCACAAGAAGAGTAGAATTGGAGGACTTTGTGGACCTTTACTACTCTGTAGAAATGTTCAAAGCAGCTTATGCAACTGTTGTGGCTCCTATGACAGGCAAAGAAGAATGGGAACAGGTGGACATTAGCTTCACTCTCCTTCCTCCTAAATGCAATAGAGCAGCAGGAAGGCCAAGGAAAAGAAGGTTGGTTGGTGCTGAGGAAGATGGGTCAAGCAGCAGGGGGAAGAGAAGGTGTAAAAGGTGTGGTGGATTTGGCCACCTCCAGAAAACCTGCAATGAAACTGTCCTAGACCCTGATGCACCACCACCTGCACCACCAAAGAAGAGGAAGACTTATAAGCCAAAAGTGGTTGAGATTATAGAGACCACAGATGACCCATCTAAGAAGAAGAGGAAGAGGAAGGCCTCCTCCAAGGGGAAACAACCCAAGAAGAAGAAGGCAACTCCTGCTGAGCCTACACCTCCTGAACAAGCTACACAGTACGTGATCCATCTCTTGCCTTCATTTCAATTAGTTTACTACATCTTAACCACATGTTTCATCTTGCAGGGTTCCAAACTCCCCAGTCACTAGGACCTAGGCCAAACACCAAGTGGCAGATAGCCCAAGGCCCCTGACTAGGAGTCAGGCTTCCTCACAGCTACCAGGAGTCCAAGCGCTTGCACTAGGAGCAAGAGGGCCCTGAAGGACTTGTAGGCACTGCAAGCAACACAGAAAGAGAAGAAAGATTATGTGCTTTTCTGTGCTTCTGTGGCTTCTGTGGCATATGAACACTGCCAGAACAAACTGCAACAGCTGGAGGGTATTGTAGTTGGTATTGTACTGAACTGCGTATTGTAGTGAACTGGGTATTGTAGTGAACTTGGTATTGTATTCTAGTCAACTTAGTATGGTTGCTGTGCCACCTACCTTTTAATGGTAATGTTGCTTGCTGTATTCAAGTTGGTAATGATGAAAATGTATTAAACTTGGCAACAAAGCTCAGAACTCCTACAAAGCACATGACAACATTCACAAACATTACAAAGCAAAGCAAAGTAAAGTTCATGCATTGTTCATCCACATGGCAACAAAGCAAAGTAAAGTTCATGCATTGTTCAGTCAGATAACTGCATTCCATTCATTTCACAAACATTACAAAGCAAAGTTCATGCATTGTTCATCCACATGGCAACAAAGCATATGGCAACAAAGCTCAGAACTCCTACAAATACACTGGCCACATTCATCCACCTATTCACTCTCTGCTCTCCAGCTATTCTACTCATAGCAGCCCTCTGACCAGAAACAACATTGGTCAGGTTCAATAGAGACTTCTCCAAAGCCTTCAAGCCTGACATCACTGCTGCAGCATCCACGCCATCTCCTACGCTCGGTGGCTTCCACATGAAGAAACCGCACTGGTTGTTGCCCTGTTCACGCCGAAGAACACAAGATTGGAATGAACCCTAGATCAGGATTTCAAAAGGCCAAAATGGACCACAAAGAAAATGAAATGAAAATAACTCACCCAGTCCCGATTCCTGCAAGTATAGAACTGCTTGTCTGGGTTGTTTTGGGTTCTCGACGTCCGCTCCACAACAGTCGCCATCCTGCAGAAAGGGCATAGTGGTTGCGCCTCTCTCACTCCACGCGAACCTGTCGAGGACGAAACGCCCGAGCCTGTTGCCATCTTGCACCGGCCTCTGCTTGCCCTTTCCTATCGACGACGCCCGCCCGCCAATGCCGCGCCCGCCCGCAGCCGCCGCCGCCGCCGCTTCCTTTGTCGTGGAGACGGGGGAGATGAGCCGGTTAACCAGACCAGGCTCGGGTCGGTTATTAGCTGGTCCAACCAGACCCAAACGTGGCTCAGGGGCACCGGATGTCCAAACTGATTTTTTCTCTCTCCTCAACCGGTGGAAACCGGCCCGCGGTGTCCTCTGGCATAATTACAACAAACCAGAGTGTCTTCTAGCATACAGCTCCACTTTGGGTGTCCGCCAGCAAACGACCACCACTGTGGGTGTCCGCCAGCTAATTTCCCCATATAAATTTGGTCAAACTAAAACAAATTTAGCTTAAGATAACTCTAAAAAATTAATTTATTTCGAGACAAAGGGAGTCCTAGTAAGACACACCTGGATGTGTATGGAGCGGCTGCCGGTTTTGGAATCTAGCGGCTGCTCTCGACCGAATCGCTTTGGATCGCACACTGTCACTGCAGCATGAAGAGTGCTGGAAGATGTGGAGACTAGGCAATAACAGAGGAGAGATGTTGTTAATTAGGAAGGACATTAACGCAAGCTTAGTATAGTAGTACTAGTAGGAATTCATCTTCTGATCGGTCGTCCTTGTCGTTCCTTTTGTCTCGGTTCATCCACACTCACCAACCATGCCAGCCAATCCTATGGTAGAACTTCTTGTTTACGACAAATATGATTTTCTTCTTGATAGTAATATACTAATATAAAAGGCACCCTCTCCCACCTTTTTCTATGGATGGATTTGGTGGAGTAGACTAACTTCCCAGTTACTATGCTTGCTTAAGAATTAATTAACTGGCCTCAGTGAGTGATGAGTTGAATAATTAATTAACTGGCCTCAGTGACTGATGGCACTGGCACCAGAAAGAAAGCTGGTATTGTTGTACTGCCATATGATTTTTATCTCATCCACAATATATGGCACCCCAATCTGTAGTCCAGATTTTAATGTATCATGGGCACAGAACAGAGCACATAGAAATAGAGCATGCTTCGTAGCTGCAACAATATGCTTCGTAGCTACAACAGACTCTGCCGTCTCACAAGCTCACAACATGACCAATTCCACAAGCAGGAAAATCAACGCAAATTTCACCTTTTTCGTCAAAAAGGGTAGACTACTGTGAACAAACTGTGCAATAAATGCAATGTAGTAGAAACTATGGAAATATCACAACATTTGGTTGATAGAATCTGAAATCTAAACAGAAAAAAAGATTCCCAAGACTAGAGTTGCAATCGCAGAGCTATATCCCCTGTATTTACTGGCTTGTAAGTTTTGCAACATGCCCATGGACAGCAGAGTAAGCAACATATATTTTTTTGAAAAGAATCAAGCAGGAGAGCTGCTGGTTTTATTAAAAAATGAAAAACCTAGACCAGGCAATACAACAGAGGAACAATGAGTCCCAAAAGGATCAGGCAACCAAAAAAATGTACAGGTACAATCTGAGCACTGTTATGAGGTGTGTTTTGTGCACAGTTGCTGCTAACTTGTACTTCTTCATAAGCAGACATCACTACTGAGAAATGTACATATATAATCTGTATGTGTAACCTTCTTTTTGTTTTTTTTAACAGACGTCCAAGTGACTTATTGCAACAAATGACTTCCAATTGTACTACCATTCGCCAAAGGCAAGATCTCATGGACTCCCACTGTCCCTGCAACACATGGGAAGAAACGATCTAAATGAGAAGCGAAATTGAGCTTGTTATGATGCCGTCCAAGTTAGCAGCAAGCATGCATAAAACACACCTCATAACCGTGCTCATATTCAGTTTAGTGGTTGTAACTTAACTCACAATTTGGATGTTGCAGGGAGGTGAATCTGAATGTGAGACGAAAACATTTTTTTTTTTTTTGTTTAGGGCAACAAAAAGTATAATTCACAGCACTAACAAGTGTTTGATAAGAAGTGATTAGCAGGCTATGAAGACCTCCAAGTTAGCAGCATGTGTGCACAAAACATACACCTTAACTGAGCTTAATTATTCAACTATAATTGGCAAAACATACACCTTAACTGGGACTCTCATCACATGAGACTGCAATTGATCATATTCATTTACTTGACATTCACACAGCTGATTCTGTCAATTTAGTGCTAGTACCATATTAGTTAAAAACTGTGGGCCTCCATCTCTCTAAATGTCACTGAGATCAAATGATACCAACTTTTTTTAGAAAAAAAAAGTCTGTTTAAATGTTGCAACTTCATTAGCTATTGCAGGTTGCAGGGAGGTGAATTTGAAGCAGAGGATCTTTTATTTTGGGAGACATGGAAAAATAGGAGAGAGAGAGAGAGAGAGAGAGAGAGAGAGAACAATTGTAGCCAGCGCACTTTCACCTTTTAATGTCGCTACCTCAAGAATTGGCCGATTGGGATGGACTGGAGCTGCTTAATTAAAAATCCTTTGCCCAGTCCAGTCCATCACTCATTATCTGAAACAGAGATAGAAGCAGAAAAAAGGATTAAAGTTAAAAAGCGGATAGGGAAAGGATGACAGGATCAATCGATAAAATGGATTTTGCAAATACGAGAGGAAGCACACCTGTCTCTTTAACCGCTTTCCTGTTTATCCAAAGGCGTGGACGATTAGGATGGATTTTAGTACCATGCCTCAGCACAGCTCTCAATTCCTTCACCTCCTCATCGTTAGCGCCTTTGCAATCCAATCCAACGCTAACCTTCTGGAGCGATGGCAGGTTCACCAAGCCCAAGTCGAGACCACCATAGCTGTTGGCGATTTCTCTCGCCCCTCGTACAGAAAACCAGGACCAAAGCGTTCTCAGCCTCGGCATAGCTCCCTGCTGAAACAATACAGGCCTGACAAATCCCCGGAACTCGCAGGATAAAAGGCAGGGGAATGAATCCGCACCAACGAGGAATCCACTAGGGATTCCGAGATCCTCATGCTCCACCTGCATCTCTAGATAGCAAAGAGCAGGCAACCTCCCAAGTATATCCAGATCGGCCTGCTGTAGTACCCTTATGGCGATGGATAGCTTGGAGAGGTCCGGCACAAGCGATGGATTAATCCATGCTGGCAGGGTTGAGAACCAGCAGCCCCATCGTGTCGACAGACTAAAGAGATGTCTAGGGGCAACCCAGGCGTCCAATCCACCAATGTTCGCTTGACCACCGCGAGCCTGCAGACACTAAGCTCATGGAGCTTTTGCAGCTTGCCCAGGCACTCCACCAGATTGTCGCTCCATTCGCCCAAGGCAATACGCAGCACCCTCAGCTCCGATAGCCATCCCAATTCTTCTAGAATGTCCATGTTGGAGTCATCAATTAGTAGTTCTGACATCTCTTCAAGTCTTGTTAAGCTCCCAATCCCATTTGGCACTCTGATTGACAAGTCGGTGTACAGGCACATCAAATGTTTCAGCTGAACAACAGTTGATGGCAAGCATGAGAGTTTATTTCTCCGTACATCCAATATTTGTAAAAACTGCAAGCTTCCTATTTCTTCAGGCAGTTGCGCAATGCTTGTGCCACATAGTCCTAGGTACCTCAAGTGAAATTGACTCCCAAGGTACTTGAGGCCGTAACCTTGCGAAAGATCACAATCTTGTAAGTCCAGTACGCGTAAAACTTGGAAGCTCCTAAAGACCGGTATTAGACTAATGGCAGATGGAAAGTGGAAGCTCCTAACAACTGGCATCAAACTAATGCCAGATGGAAAGACAACAAATGACCTTACTTGTTGCAAGCTCCTGGTTTCCAGAGTTTCAGTATGATGCTCCTTGCCATTTTGAAGGGATAACCTCCGAATCGTATTTGCTGGAGATATGTGATCTGTACCATTTAATATAGTAACAAAGTTTCCTTCACTTGACAAGGAGCATATAAGATCAAGCACCATATCATGTACACGACATTCATATATTGTATCATTATTATAACCATGTATGGGTTGGATCATACTTCTACTTATGAGCTCATTGAAGTAAGTCTCTCCTATATCAAATAAGGACTCCCCATGTTTCTCACATTGGATAAAGCCTTCAGCTATCCACATCCATATCAAACGATGCTTTTCTATTTTATAATCTTCTGGAAATACACTACAATATAATAAACAAGTCCTCAGATGGGACGGCATATTATAATAGCTAAATGATAAGATCTTTCTCATATTCTCCACATCTATACTGTTCTCAAGACCGGTACCAATACAGTTGCACACCTCATACCAATCCATCTTATTTCTTGCTTTACAAGCGAGTAGACTAGCCATCGTAATAATAGCCAGGGGTACACCGGCACATTTCTTTAGTATCCTCTCTGATACTTCAGTTAACTCTGCATCGGGACATTTTTCTATATCTTCATTGTTGTCTTTCCCTTCATTACCAAATATTCTTTTGTATAGCAATTTCCGGGAGTTATTATGAGAAAGTGGTTTCATGTTGTAAGGACCACCAACTTTTTCAGCAACATCAGAATTACGTGTAGTTGTAATAATTATGTATCCAGCATCGCTATGAGGCAAAGCACATTTGATCATTCTCCAGACTGAGATAGCCCATATGTCATCAATAACAATGAAATACCTATAGATATGGTAAGTTATTGTTAGCAAGAAAAACTAATGAAATTAGGATAGAAAGTTCTGATATTGCTCATATAAGACGTTGTGCACGCTTTCTAGAATACTAGTAATAATTAAACAAAGTTAGCTATGGTCTACTCGATTATCAAGTCTGTGGGCAAATTAAATATGTCCACTCAAAATCTTTACCAAAATAAACAAGAAAAAGCACTCTGGAAGCGAGAGTTATTTTTGTCATTGCTTTTACTTGCCAGAATAGTGATTAAAAAGGCTCTAGTGGTTGTTTTTTTGTTTAACCACAACAGCAAGCACATTTCTCACTAACTGTATGTACAGTTAGTGTTACGAAACGGATTGGAGGCCCTAAAATACTGGTGGCAAAAAAAATTCTTTTCATGTACAAATTGATGGCAGGAATGCTCCCATACCTTTTGTGTCGAAGGAATTTTCTTAGTTCATTGACGAGCTGCCCCTCATCCAATGGTTTTTCATTGATGTTCTCATACTTCTTGTCAAGCTGATACAGGATGCCCTTGTACAATTTCTTCAAATCAGGAGTTTGAGAGACTGACACAGCAGCACAACAATCGAATCCTGGTCTAATCTTGTCATAAACTGCATGAGCAAGAGTTGTTTTTCCCAACCCACCAAATCCAACAATGGTAACTATTTTGCCTTTCTGAATGGTCACTTCATTCTCTTCCATAATGATATTGATTAGCTCATCTCTTGTCTCAACAATGCCAACAAGCTCTTCAATCTCTGTGTACTGAGAAAATAAACGTGGGTCGACAGCAGCAGTGGTAGGCTTATCAACACCGAGGCTAACATCATACCTGCGACGCCTCTCGTGCACCTCTACAACACGGCTCTTGATCTCTCTTATCTCAGTAGCAATCCCATGGCGAATCTTTGCCTTTCTGAACAAACCGACACTTTGGTCAATAAACTTCCTGATGCCATGCAGCTTGGCCGACTGACTGGCTTTGCCACGCACCATAAATGTGTCGATACTATCCTCTATATCATAGGAGAGCTCCCTCAAATCCTTGGCCCAGATCTTGTCCTGAATGTCAAGCTGGTCTGCCGGTTTACTGGAGAGCTTCTCGAGGGCGCCCTTCATGCTCTCGAGCTCAGCTTTGAGGAACATGATCTCCCCCTTCACGCCCTTTTGCAGCTTATACTCTCCGACTAGCAGATCGCCGAGCTTGGCGAGGACGCTTGGCAGAGCCCCAGTCACTACCGCCATGGATCTGTCCTGGACGAACGCGCAAGGAGTGAGGCTGCTGTGCCGCGTATGCATACTGACCCAAAAGTATGGGCACAAAGTGCTAGAACTCTAGGAACTATTCGGATGGGCACAAAGGAGAGCTAGCGCGAGATTGGACTCACCGAGGAGTTACCGGCCACCGCTGGTCGCGAATCACGGCCGCCCTTATTGTCGCAGCGCCGCGCCGCGCCGGCCTCCCGCCCCTGGTCAACGCAGCTACGGATCCAGCCGAGGAGCCTGCCCCGATTCCGGGTTGCTACAGTCGAGGAGCCTTGGAGAAGTTGGAACAGATTGGAGGGGGCAGATAAGCTTCAACTACTGAATGAAGAGATAGTGAGACCTACCAGCAACGAGAAATACTAGAACTGAAATTCCTTGCCTTTGACTCGCCTACTTCTCCGGTCTTTGATGTTGCTTTCCTGGCTTTCGATTCCTATTCGTCTGATGTGTTGATGCCTGAGAAAAAGCTTCGGCACTGACACATTACTTTCTTTCGCATTGGGCTTTAGGGGGTGTTTGGTTCTACCGGAAAATTTCTCATTGGATATTTGGACACATGCATGAAGTATTAAATATAGACAAAAAAAATAACTAATTGCATAGATTGTGGCTAATTTGCGAGACGAATTTTTAAGCCTAATTAGTCCATGATTTGACAATGTGGTGCTACAGTAAATATGTGCTATTAATTAGGCTTAATAAATTCGTCTCGTAAATTAGTCTCCATCTATGTAATTAGTTTTATAATTAACTCATATTTAGTTCTCCTAAATAGCATCTGAACGTCCGATGTGACATGGACTAAAATTTAATCCATGGAACCAAACACCCCCTTAACAGATAAATTCTTTACAATACTTTATGCTGTAAAACAAGAGGACGTGTCTTTTGGTCTTGTACCAACGCTCCTTAATAACGAGGCTTTCCAGCTTCTGGGATGCTTCGTAGTGAGATAAGACCTAACTCGCTGTGTGGATTCGTATTCCTCTTCACTCATTCTAATCCTTAACTACTTGCTCGATAAAAGCTATCCCAACAAAGCTTGACAGTTCTTCAAGAATCCGAACCTACTTTTCTATGGCTAAAAAGAACCCAAAATGGCGTGTTGCCATGCTGGATGAGATGGAGTCAATCGACCTGTTCGCTGGTTGGTTTCTGGCCTGATAAGCTCGGTTGGTGCTAGTTAGTTGTAAGAAGAAAATATTGTTGGCTGGCTGATAAACCCTGACCGAAACCAACAAGCGAACAGGCTGAATGAAGATAAATAAGGTTTGGGACTTAGTTCATTTACTGCCAGGGCTATTAGGTAGCTTGGTAAGGGATGGGCCGCAGGTTTGTGAAACATAGGAGTAGAGGAGTAGGCATTTGGATCGGAACTGGTAGGAAGCAATGGAATAGGTCAGTAAAATAGGACTACTAGTAAAGACACATTATTCGCTAAGAATAGTTTCGTGATAGGTTTTTAGAAATAGGAAATTTGATCGGCTTAACCGAGTTTATTATGGATCGTTGTCTGTTGAGTGGAAGGATTCCTAGTACCAATAAGAGTTTCCGAGAGTTACTTTATTCAAATTCTCTCCTTTCCAAAGCTCCACAAGGCTGACAAAAAGAGTAATAGGACAACAATCAATCTTGCTTTCATTTATTTTGAGTTCTTTCTTTGTTGAGATGGAAATCGATGTTCTTTTGAAAAAGGCTAGGTAGTTTGCACGCAGGCTTCTTCATGAAAGGAAATGTAACACCCTCGGTGTTACACTGTAAATCGTTTACTGAAACACTGCATGAGCATTGTGTTTATGTATTAGTGCATGTAATATAGCGTGTAGATCAATTTCCGTAACTTAAAACGATCAACGGAAACACAAAACGAAAGTGCATTCCATTGCCACGTAATATCACTTAGGGTTTGAAACCAATTTTTATTAAGCGAAAATGCTATAGAACGCATATACGGAACTTTAATAAAGTTTGAAGTGCAAACTTTATAGATGACGATGAAATACCTGCGGTCGAAAAATGAATTCACTAGCTAACATACCTAATAGCTTGGAAATCGAATTTGACGCAAATCCGATCAAGAATTAGTCAAATTTCTTTAAGTCAGAAAATGGTTTGACAAGGCTAAGTTTGGCAATTTTTGTAGAGTAATTGGGTTAAGGAGTGATGGGGTATTATGGCTTGTTTTAGTAGCCTAACATGCCCTCTTAAGTATAGCATAGGTGGTTTGGCGTTTGAATTAACGAATTGGATTTTTAGGACGCGTTAAAAAGCGTGCATGGCACGTTTGGGTCGGGTTCCTCGCGTTGACGTGGTCACCGCGCTCCTGTGCCGTCGGTGGCGCGCCGGCCGCGTGCTCGCACGTGTCTGGCCGAGCCCTGGCTGGCAGCTGTCTCGCCTCACTGCCGCTTGCGTCGCGTCGTCGCTGCTGCTAGTTGCGGTCGCGCTTGCTGGGTCACCCGCGTGCACCCACGCTGCTTGTGTCGCGTCCACCTGCGCCGCTGCGCCGCCGCCGTCCTGTCACCGCGCTGCACGCCAGCTCGCTGCACCGCGCTGTCACCGCCGCGCCACAGCGTTGCGTCGCGTCCGCCTATGCCTCTACATCGCTGCTCGTCCCGACTTCGCGCACGTGGGCTTGCCGAGGCCGCTCGCGTGTCGTTTCGCCATTAACGGCGCCACGTCCGCCCTGCTGCGCTGCCACCGCTGCACGCGTGCACGTTTCCTCTCCTAGCTGCATTGGCTTGCAGCGCTTGCATGTCTGTGGTCACTGCGTCCCGCCAAGGCTCGAGCAAGCAGCCGGACCCATCCCCTTCTTTCCCCTCCCTCCTCTGTTGCCCAGGCCAGCCAAACTGCGTCATGAATCCGGCATGGATGGGTCATGTCCATTCAATTAGGGCGCCCCGCGTGAGCCGTGCCGATGGGTCGCGCGTGCGCGCGCGCTGCGCGTGCGTGGGCCGCATCGCTCGTAGTGGGCCGCGCAGGTTGGATTTGGTTTTCCTTTTTCCAAAGAATTAGTAAATGCTTTTCCAATTTAGTTTTGAGCTGATCTTTGGAAAATTATAGTAAATTCGGTAGGTGTCCAAAAATAGTGAAACAAAATTTGTTAGGTTCACAAAAATATGATCTATCTGTTGGTGTAGTTAGTTTACAGTTATCTGTGATAATGTTAGATTCATTAATTCATTTAGAAAAGCTTAGCATTATTTAGATTAATAATTGTAGGAATTTTTGTGGCAAATTGGTAATAGCTTTGACCATAAAAATTTTAAAGTAGGTTCATTAGATTATTATGTACTCACAGTAATTTTGGTAGCTTTAGAATAGGTTGATAAATAGGGTAGTTAATACTCCATATTTAACATATATATAGTAAATCGATATTAAGAATAAGGATGCCTTTAGTTGCTAAGATAATACAAGCAATGCTTCATACCTGTTTAGTGGTAATAATAGGTAACTTAGCGTCTTAGTCAGTAGAGCTAGCTCAGTAGCTTGATGGATGTATTCTTGTTTTAAGAATTGTTGTTGCCGTATTATTAAGTGTTGCATCATTATTTCATGCATGTAGATAACGAGTTGGTAGAGTTCGTGCCTACGAGCGACCAGGAGTACGAGAAGATCATCGAGGAGTATGAGGAGGAGATTCTCATACAGGAGGAAGCCTCGGAGCCATCAGTTATCGACTTTGTTGACACCCCGCCTGCCCAAGGCAAGCCCCGCTGCATAACCCATATTTTGAATGATCACAGGATATATATATGTGATGTGCATTTACGTTACAGGCATTTTATGGAAACTACATGCATAGATATACCTACCTATGAGTCCTACCAGCATAGGTCGAGTAGCTGCTATGCTTAGGATTTTCGGTAGCGTGAGTAACCTGCGGTTACTCAATAGGTGATTATTATGATCACTCATGATAAAATGGTGAAAGAAAATGAAGACCGGGCAGGGATATAGTTTGGGTATTGGTGGGTGTAAGAGGTTGTGTCCTGCGGCCAACGGGGCATAGCATGGTTACACTGTTTTCCTGTCTGTGTCGGTTAAGGACCGGCCGTTGCATTGTATTCTAGGCAAGTCATAGACTTATTATTCCAAACACATACTTGTGTATGGGCGCAGGGAAGGCTTGTTGCTCCCTTGTCGTGGGTTTTGGCTCTTTTCGGACCGACTGATTGGATGCGGGGATGGTGGAGGTCTAAGCACCGCGTTGAGTCCGGGACTCAGGAGCGGGGGCTTGGAGTCCAAGTTTGGACGGGGACCTGGACCCCATGATAGGAGAGTGGTGGGTTGGTCCTGCTTGTGCCTGGGGTACAAGCGGGGTGTGTGTTTCGGGATATCTAGCTGGGCACATTGATTCGCGAATCGCCGGACGATCCGGTATGACTTGTCTACAGTCTAGCACTATAGTAAGAACTGAAAGATGAAAGGTGGTGAAATGAAACTGTTTGCTCAACTCTTGCTTGAAAGTAGAACAGATGCTTACATAGAATGGTTAGATAATGAACTAATCAGGACTGCTAATAATAAACATACATAAGGATTCACTATTAGTATTGCTTTTCGCAAAAAGGAAAACCCAGTAACCATAAAGCTTTTCATATCTCTTGGAGTCGGAAAATTATTCCCACTAGTCGGATAAGTCTTGCAAGTACATTGTGTACTCAGGGTTTATTTACCCCTATTATAGGTGTAGCTTGAGGAGTAGCCGTTGTGTGAAGGATTCTTCTGGTCGGCACAGACGGATCCTTCTATATTATCGATAGATGTTTCTTTTCGTTCCGCTGTTTAATTTCCGCACTCTGAATTTGGTATTGTAATAATGTATTTCTAAGAACTCTGGATGTATGAAATGGACTAAGTAATGTAAACTCATTCTCATTATTGGATCCAGAGGAAAAAATGTGGATTATTCGGGCTCTCCCTTGGGGTGTGCTCGACGGAATCCGCCCGAGGTAGCTCACTCTCGGGGTGCTTAG